GGTATTGGGCCACTCTAGAGTTGAATCATTGAGCAAAGGTCGGCTAGGGCCGTGTGATGCGCAGCAAGAAATGGTACTCAACTGCCGGTACATGTTGCTCCTATGTAGAATCTTTTAGGGTGACGAGGACAAAACTTGCTTTCGAGTGTGTCCTTCCAGTGTTGCGTTCGTCAGAAAACTTTACATCCGCCAGGGTCTACGCCTTTATCGTCGCGTCTGGATTGGGCAGAATAGTACGTCATTAGGATAATTACATGCGTTTGAAAGTAAAACTTGTGCTTCTGGGTTGCAACAACTATCGCCAAAGTTAGCTTTTGAATTTTTAATAACATCGAGGAGAGCTTTTGAACTGTAGAATACAGGTAACTGTGGAATACAGGTAGTCGGGCCCCCATCTCTTCTCGCATGATGGTAGAGCTTATTGCTACTTTAGATACCGTCAAACATGTGAATAAGTCCTCCGCTGCTTCTAGGGAGGTGATGTCGGGTACTTCTTCAAGTCCTTGAATATGCATTGGCGAGCCTCATCCCAAAGTGCATACTTATCTGCCAAAGCAAAAGAGTCTGCCAGAGTTAGATCTTTTTTCATGATCAATTTTCCGAATAGCGGGTGGTCTGCTGGAAGTCCTTTTTGGAAGGCTGCTCTAGCTATCGAGTCGTTGCATCCGACTATTTTTGCCTTCTCTACTTTGAACCTCCTCACATAGTCGCGAAGTGACTCCTTTGAGTTCTTCTTGACGTTGAACAAATGATCAGATTTCTTTTTTATCGAGCGATATAATGAATATTCTTTGGTGAAAACCAAAGAAAGTTCGTAGAAATTCCAGATGGATTGTGGCGGCAGGGTGTAGAACCAATCTTGCGCCTCGCCTTGTAGAGTGGTGGCGAATATCTTGCACATAAGCTCATCGTTGTTTCGATAAAGGATCATTGCGCTTCGGTAGCGCTTTAAGTGTCTCTCCAGGTCTTCATCCCCTTTGAAAGATGTGAAATGTGGCATGCTGAACTCTCGTGGAGGCTCTGCCTGCTCGATCTCGTCTGTGAAGGGTGACCTGCTTATGTTGGTCATGTTCCATCGTAGTGCCTCATCGGTGACCTCGTTGCGTTGGAAATCATGCAATCGCTTGGTCAAGAGTCTCTCTACTTCTTCCTGAATTTGCCTTTGTTGGGGTAGCGGAGCTCTCGGCTGCCCCCAGCCATGACTTGGTGGTCTAGACTGCTATTCCATGTGTTTGGCTCGTCTATGCCGCAGATGCAATGCATGTGGTGCGTTCCTAGCAGGCGAGCGAGTTCTTCGCAGGCTGCTGGTTGAACTTGAGCTGGATTGAGTGAACGCCTCTTTCCGTCTGTCGTGCTGCCTACTCTGATGTGAAGTGGATGATGCTCCTTGTGGGCTTAGCCGCGAATGAACACTTTGTCTGGAAGGTTGCTCATGTTGACTATCGGAGTGTGACCCCAACCGTGAATGTATGCTCATCCGTGGGCCTAGTCGAGAGTACACGCTCCTCCGCGCGCTAAGACAGGAGTATACGCTATCTCGGGGGCCCAATCGGGAATGTACACTGCCTGAACGTTCGGCTCGTGGCTGGTCGAATGGCTGCTTACCGGGACGCTGCTGGAAAGGTTCGTCTGCCCTTGTCCTACTTCGGGATACCTCGTCCGGGGCACGTTGGATCCCGATGCGTTGCAAAAGTTGATTCACCAAAGTTGTCTGTTGTGCAAGGGCGCTCGTCAACTCTATGACTTGTCGAGACAAGTGTTGTTCGCCATTTGGATTGGAAGAGCTTGGAAGGAATGCGCCTCCTTGGGCAGTGGAAATGTGGTAGACTCCGGGCGCGATATTTGAATTGGGAAATGTCAAATCCGCGAAAAAATATGGTGAGAATGCCCCCGGCTCGATGGTAGGTCCGGATGGTTGAGATAGTCTTGGGTCGACTTGGGCTGCTTGGAAAGCCACTGGAGCATGATGGGCCGTGAGAGTGGGCTGCTCGTCGGGAGCAGGCTGCTTGGCAGGAGCAGGTTGGGCCGTGAGAGTGGGCTGCTCGACGGAAGCAGGCTGAACCACGAGAGTGAGCTGCTCGTCGGGAGCAGGCTGGGTCACGAGAGCAGGCTGCTTGGCAGGAGCAGGCTGGGCCACAGGAGTGGGCTGCTCGACGGAAGCAGGCTGGACCACGGGAGTGGTTGCTCGTCGGGAACAGGCTGGGTCACGAGAGCAGGCTGCTTGGCAGGAGCAGGCTGGGCCACGGGAGTGGGCTGCTTGGCATGAGCAGGCTGGGCCACCGGAGTGGGCTGCTCGACGAAAGCAGGCTGGGCCACGGGAGTGGGCTGCTCGTCGGGAGCAGGCTGGGTCACGAGAGCAAGCTGCTCGGCAGGAGCAAGTTGGGCCGTGAGAGTGGGTTGCTTGACGGGAGCAGGCTGCTCAATGCGCGGTGCATGTGAATGCGAGGCTTGGGCTTGGGTCCACGTAAACTTAGATGGCACGGCTTGGATCGTGGTCTTGGTACCGTGAGCCTTAGATGGCACGGCTCGGGCCGTGGTGAAGGCTCCATGGACCTCGCCACAAGTGGCTACCGAAGTAACCACCGCGGTGGTTCCCATGGAGGCCGTGGTGAAGGCACCATGGACCTCGCCGCGGGTAGCTACCGAGGTAGCCACCACGGTGGTTCCCATGGTAGAAGCTTGTGGTGATGATGCCGCTCCCCTTATTGTCGCATTTTGCCTCACGGATCTCCGGGCCATGGTGAAGGCTCCATGGACCTCGCCACGAGTGGCTACCGAAGTAGCCACCGCGGTGGTTCCCATGGCGGCCGTGGTGAAGGCACCATGGACCTCGCCGCGGGTGGCTACCGAGGTAGCCACCACGGTGGTTCCCATGGTGGAAGCTCGTGATGATGATGCCGCTCCCCTTATTATCGCATTTAGCCTCACGGATCTCCGCAATCCCATTTCTTGAACATTAGAATTTTCACTTGTGGAATTTTCTAAATTTCTAGCCATTATATTTTGCTTGTACGTTTTATCAAAGAACCTTTGCAAGTAAAAAATTCTAATAATAAGAACGTATGAAAAATATTCAAATGGACTAGAAAATAAAGAAAAAACCTTTTTGTGCGAGAGTCTTCTACGAGTATGGATTTCAACTCTCAATGAAAGCACCAATTTGTGGATGCAAATTTCTTCCTCCTTGATCTTGGATAATTTTGCACCTACAAAACAATTAACACCTTAGGTTAAGGCCAAGAGCCTCACGCGCCCACGATGAATAGGGGGGCTTTGGCCGAAGAACCTCCGATGCCAAAGTTAGAATTTAGAGAGAAAGAGTGTTTAGAGAATTTTGGGATTTTTTTGCCAAAGTGTTGGAATTGATTTTTTTGGTGAGAATAGGTGCCTATTTATAGAGTTAGGAGGTGGCTAGGGTTTTTTAGGTTTAATTTAGGTTTAATTAGCCAATTTATTATGATTAATTGGCTAATTTAAACATAAAGGAATGTTTTGATGGTTATGGGTTTAATTGGCTAGCTAATTAGTGTAATTAAAAAGGGAAAAAGGTGGAAAAGGTAGAGAATATGATAGGCTCTTTTTGGATGGGAATGGCCGGCCCTTGGTGTGATTTTAGGGTGATTTGGTGATGTAATTAGCCTTTAATATATTGATTATATTAATTGGTTGAGGATGTTATGGAATGTTTGAAATAAATGGCTAATTGAATAAGGAAAAAATGAGGTAAAAACATATATGAAATAGGTTTTGAATTGTTACCCATTTTGGGTACTTCTGACTTGGTTGATGGATGATTCTCCACTCGCGTGTAGGAGACCCGGTATGCCTCGAGGGTATTTTTGTCCTTTTTGTCCAAAAAACCCACGTGTCGCCTTGTGAATATTTTTGGCTCCACAGAGTGGTTGGAATATCTTTCCTTATCTGGTTCTGTTGAGTGGTCCGGAACCCTACCTTCGTTGGATTCAATTGAGTGGTTCAAAATTCTTTTCCCTATTCGGTTTCGTTAAGTGGTGTGAAACCTTCATTGGGTTCCATTGAGTGGTATGAAATCCCTTTCCTTATTTAGTTTCATTGAGTGGTCCAAAACCCTATCTTCGTTGGATTCTGTCGAGTGGTTTGGAATCCCTTTTCCCTATTCGGTTTCGTTGAATGCTTCGTAACATGAGCCTCCATTGGATTCTATTGAGTGGTCTGGAATCATTTTCTCTATTTGATTCTATTGTGTGGTCTAGAATCCTATCTTTGTGGGATTCAGTTGAATGGTTTGGAATCTCTTTCTCTATTTGGTTCTGTTGAGTGGGTTTAGAACCCTAGATTCTTGTGCATAGAAGTTGTTCTTACACTTGTGTTTGTAACTTAGGATTAACAATGCTGGATTTAGAATTTAGGTAGGGAAATACAACAAACCTTACAAATGTGGGCTTTATTAAACTTCGAAAGTAATATATGACCTTAATGATTGATTAACGTAATTAAATGCTAATATTGTGCATCTTTATTGAATCAATTAGTTGTTGCTTTGAACAAAAAAAACATTTGTTGGGATTGTGGAATCGTTGTTGGGAAAAAGTGTGATATATGTTAATGCCGAAACGACAATCCTGGTTGGCATATGGTTTCGTTGTGTATGGAATCTAGTGAATCATGCTAATCGAATTCTAACTGTTGGTTTGTTTTTTGTCATGTCTCAAAAGCAAGGCATGATAGTTGAACAGGTACGTGATGACATTACGTGCCAGTTCTGGATGTATCTCGAAATCGAGGCATGACACCCAAAAACTTGTGCTATATAAATGACCGATACCCTCCACAATTTCCTCAGGTTCGAGAAATGATACAACATTGCAATTGCACCAAGTGAACAGCTCAAACCTGGTCATCTAAAAGGAGAAGGAAGACAAATAAATAGTTGAAAGCGAACACCGTTACAATCTGAGACGTACGTGATTCCAGAATGCATCTCATCTCCAAATTTCAGACCCAGTTTAGACTTTAGATCATCAAGCTTGAAAATCAATGTATATATATACCTACATATGCACTAATTCAACTCTATGTCGCCATTCAAACTATGGAAACCCCAAAGTTTAGTTTGTTGAAATATTTTAGCTTTAGAAGTCCTATTCCAACCAGCAATGTAGAAAATAAACATGAACTTTTAATGGAACTGCCCGCCATCTACTCTCTTCCACTTGGTTCTAATGGTGTTGCAACAGCAATATCACTTGCTCTCTTCCTCGTTTGCTTTCCTGCAGCACCTTGGCCAGCCTACATGTAGTCTGTAAATCGTGACAGCACTAGACAGATGAGGAAAGACCTCAGAGTCAACTAGTGAAGCCAACAAGAAGTCTAGCGATTCAGCAAAAGGGTTTCCTCATGATCGAGCGATCCTTGACGATCTTTGAGATCTGGGTTTGAGAGAGTCCATGGTTTCTGAGAGAGGACAAAACGGAGCCTGGTCTTTCTGGAGAACGCAGCTTGACCGTCTTGGATGCTGAAATTGCACTTTTTGGACAACCCACATGAGTGTATGAGGTAATTGACTGTGAAATCGTGTGGTTTTCTGAGATTTTTGGGCTGAAATGTCTGCAAAGTGGCTGAGGTTGAAGAGAAACAAATCGTTTAGTTCTGGAAGATTAAGAATAACACAATCTGAGATTTATATACATAGCATATTCTTGTTCACTGTATGGTAGTAAAAAATTCTTGTTTGGCTTTGAGTTCTAAATGGTAGTAACTCACTGAGAAATTCTTGTTCACAATATGGGTTTGTGTCAAATATTCTATGTTTTGGAGCAAGTAAATATTAAAAAACATTACCAGCAAATTGGCAGAGGAGTAACAAAACGTCCAGATGATGGCATCAATGCTCGATGATCAGCTCCAGTTCCAATCAGTACATATCTGATTTCCTCGTGCAATGCAACAGAATGAATCTGCATTACAGATCTTATGAAAGCTTAATTTTTGTTCTTTTAAAAACGCGCATTACGGAAATTGCACCTCAACCCTTATGGTCTTGCAATTCACAAACAAGCCTAGTACAAGCAAATCACAACGACACATTGATACTTTACCCAGCCATTGCCCCAAAAACCAAGGTTGGCTAGCTGTTTGCAGAGGAGAGTTGTTAGCTTCGCAGAGCAGAGCATAACAGGGACAACGACCGACAATCACTGATGTCTAACGCATCTTTTATAATTTCAAAGAATCAGACGAAAGTATTTTTCATTCCTTCATCCCCACAATAGATTAAATTGAACCCAAATAGAAGCAACATATGAATACATTCTATCAAAGGCAGTTCCCAGATGAACAAAGTCAATAACCATCAATCTTAAAGTTGAAGGCGCCACAATCACAGACAGCAGAGCAGATCAAATCTCAAGTTAATTTCAAATAAGAAAGCATATATATAACTACAGTAGCTAGACACTGGAACGTTAAGACAAACAAACGATTAACAACTGAACTCATTTATAGAGAAATATTAAAACAGCAGTTAAGGACACCGACTTTGACGCAGGAAAAGCCAAGGATTCTCCAGGAGATGAGGGATAGATGACCTGGGAATCGCTCAACCTCCCCGCCGGGGGAGGGGGGGGTGGGAACGGAATCACTCACGTCTTTACTGGGATAGAACTTGGGAATCACTTGACCAGGGGCAACGGATTCACTCACGTCACTAATCATGGATTCACTCGACATGACCAAGTCTCACACTTGATTTTAAAGAGGAGAAAACTCACTCTCTTCTTAGATTAACTTCAATTCACTAATTTCACTTCTTAATCTTACGTATAGAACCCTTTAAATAGGAGGCTACCTTACATTGATAGGATAAATAACTTAATACTAAAAATTATAGTAACTAGGCATCTAATTAAAACATGGCCTTGAAAGATGAAAAAGTCTCCAACATGTTTAATGTATAAACCATATCAATTGTTCTACACTGCATCAGACTTACAATACTGAGCCAAAAGCTAGCTGCTACCAATGGCAATGAGTAGTTCTGCATCCGCATCGAGGCGTCCAAAAATTTTACAATACCTAACCTCTTTTGACCTACGAAACATCATACATCCTGGACTCCAACTTTTCCATGATACACACTCAATAACTGAGGGACTTGATCGATATATCTGGCCACATACCTCTCCAAGAACAACTTCTCTGCAGGCACCAACACAGAACCCAAACTCACGTTTTCAATCCCCTTTATCAATCCTTTCAGCAACAAAACTTTAACAACCAAGCAGCGGGGGATGAATCTCTTCTCCAAACTGTAACACATGACCGCCGGGGCTTTGGCAATCATTACCGACGGCCACCCCATCTTTATCACTAAAAATTCCAGCGCTAGCATTATTTTCTTCTCCGACACAGTCATACAGCAAGGGTACCTCCGGAAAGCAGAGAGCACAACATCTTCAGACCAACCCCATCTCTTATAAACCTGGAGACTTCGATTCCATACAGGCCTATTCTTACCACACAATGCTTTTATTGCCATCACCGACGTTGATATTTGCAGATTAAAACCCATTTGCTTAACCTCGTCCACAACTTTACCTATCTCTTCAGGCTTTACCATTAAAGTGCTGGGGTGATGAACAAGCAGCAGAGAAATGCATGATTGGGGCATACCTGATTCTTTCAAAATCTCAATATTTGGGACAACAGTCTTGCAGTGGCCTTCCACGAAAATCCGTGAGCCCGACTTGAAAACAGAAACGACATTTTTCTCAGAAACCATACTCTTAAGAAAATTATAAGTGGGTACAATCCGATTTTCCAAGCTTGCAGACAAGAGACCGGGATGACGTTCCAAAACTTTTGCAAGGCACTCTCTTGAAACTCCAAGAGACCTGAAAAATTCAAGCTTTGGCAGAAGGATTTTATCAGGATTGGAATTGAGAACGTGTGGGCATGACCTGACGATCTTGGAGATCTGGGTTTGAGAGAATCCATGGTTTCTGAGAAAGAACAAAGCGGAGTCTGGTCTTTCTGGAGAACGCAGCTTCGTCCTCTTGGAGGCTAAAATTGCACCTTCTGGGGACAACCCACATGAGTTTATGAGGTAATTGACTGTGAAATCGTTGTGGTTTTCTGAGATTTCTGAGGTGAAATTTCTGCAGAGTAGCAGCGGATGTTGACGAGAAACAAATCGTTTAATTCTGGAAGATTGAGAACAACACAATCTGAAGGTGAGCGCTACCATGTTAACAGTACATGCTCAATTTCAAATCCAAATTTTGAATTGGAAATTGCCCCAAAACCCTACCTCTGCTTCCGCTCAGTGGGATTTATTTAACTTTTACTCTACTATTTGTTAGGTAATTTTACTTACACCCAACATATTTATTACGCTGTACATTTGTTTTTTTCAATTAAAATTTGAAAGTATTATTCTTACCACATTTTACATAACACATTTATAACATTATTCTAATAGAGATGAGATCCACATGTGTTAATGGGTACTAACTCTATTGGAATGGTGGTATGGATGTGATATGTAAAATGTGGTAAGATTAGTACTTTTGAATTTTAAAACGCCCGAGTATGAGTAGTACATGAAGGTCTCTTTAGGTGCTACACTTACTATATAATTGTACCATCTCTTTAATAGAAGTGGGGTCACTACACATGTGGATTCCATCTTTATTAGAGAGATGATACAATTAATGGTATCAGTAGATAACAAGAATAGGATTTTTGTTATCTTACTACATCATCACATATTTTTCTATAATATCCTCTCACCCCACATTCTCAAGAGACTATTTAGTTTTCCCCCCACACTCCCAAGAGACTTTTCAGTGTATAACATATGTCATTATACAAGGAAAATAACACTTGAAAAAAAAAAAAAAAAAAAAAAAAACTTCCCTCAACTTTAGGGCGTTTAGCTGCTGTAGCATGTATTCCATTAAGGGGTAGGATTATCTGCCCTCCTACTCCTCTTTCCTTCCCTTCTCTCACACTTTGCTTTTGTCTTAATGTCTCTATAAAAAAAAATCAATATAAGAGGTTGATGCGGCTTAATTATAACATTCAAGTATGAGGAGAGGGAAGAGAGATTATGAGAGGAGCATCATCCTTCTCCATTAAATGCTGCATGTGATGACTAGTGACAAAGGTAACGCAGTTTTCACTTTGGCCTTTAAGGCCATCTCCAACCGAATGAGGACCAAATAACTATGTTTAGCCTCATAGTCTTGCAAGAAATTATATTTTAATGAACACTGTCAGGCCATATTTTATACCATCTCCAACTGAGAAGGTCAAAGGATCATAGGCCAAACATAGCCCTTTGACAAAAAACTCATCTCCAATCGAGGGGGCTAAAGGGTCATAGGCCAAACATAATTCATATATATATTATTATTTAATTCAATTAATATGTTAATTAAACTAAAGTACCATATTAATTAATATAAGGTTTTCAAATAGATTTTGAGTGTCACTTGTCACTAAATGAATAAGCCTTCGAATTTCTTATCTTTATATAATCTCAATAATTTTTTCGGATAGGAAAAATTATTGGAAGAGGTAAGAGAATAGAGTGTGAAGAATTGAAATAAAATGAGGTAAGATAGTATAGAATGATGAAAAGTATGTGAGAAATGATATAGGAATGACGTATTTCTAGGGGAAAAATTAGATTTTTTCCAAAATATAATATTCAAATGGGCTGGGCTCATCTGGTTGGCTAGAAATGGCCAACCTGCTAGCCTGATTTGGTGGTTTTGGCTCGATTGAGCTCACAACTCTTTTGGCCTAGCCCTCGGTTGAATACGGTTTTCGTGTCATTTCAAGCTATTTTCAGCCCTTTGGTCGGATCAATTGGAGATGGCCTAAGTCCCAACATTTTCCTATTTCGCCCTCTTAGGTTTTCATCCAATTTCAAATTCATACGTCCATCAATTTTTTCAATTTTCATACAATGACTCACGTTTTCGTACTAATGTCGTTTAGCCGTTAATCAATCCATCAAATTGACCGGTAAGTAAGTGATAGTAGCCTACACTTTGTTGACATGTTTAATTAGTCATATTTAGTTATTGTTAGGATATAATAGTGCCAAGTGTTACATGTATAGCTTACCATGTGTCTGTGTATCATTGGTTAAGTCTTGAGTTAGTTATAGTTGTGTATTTATAAGACAAGTTAATGTATTGTATTAAATTGAATAGTTTGGTAATAATAATTCAATTTACAAAACTCTCTCTTTACTTTCCCTCTCTACAATTCACAGCTCTTACATTTTCTTATAGTTATCATGGTATCAGAGTTGATCAAGGCTTGCGCCATCGATTGATGATCTTATTGCTTCCGCTCATCTGCTTCTTCGTGTTGTTTGATCAGAGCGTTGCCTTTGTTGCTCTGTAGCAACATATAATCGTTGGAGTTGGTGGAGTCGCGGGTGTTTGTTCGTGGTGATTGTCGGTGAAGTCGATGTCGTCGTCGTCGGAGTTCCTTTGAAACCCTAGTTTTTGGGGATTTATCGAGGTGTTGAGTCGTCAAAGTTCACGAAGGTGATTTTCTTCTATTTGTTTGTTGATTCTTAATCCTTTGATTCTTGATTCTTGTTCGTCTAAACCCTAATTTTTGGGAATTGTTGTTCACGATTCCTACTGTATTCTGTGTTTCTGTGGATTTGTTTATCTGTGCTATGATTGATCTGTTTGTATCTTCACAATGGTTACCTTTGCTCAGTTAATGCTTACACAATCGCCTATTGCTTCTCTGATTCCAAGTGTGGGTAATACTGTTACTGTGAAGTTAGATGACTCTAACTATGTGACTTGGAATTTTCAAATGAAGTTGTTGTTAGATGGTAATGGAATTAGTGGTTTTGTTGATGGATCCATTCCGTGTCCTACCAAATTTGTTGATTCTGAATCTGAAGGGGAGGTTGATAATCATGTGCCTGTAATTTATGATGCATACAAGTTGTGGAAAATTCATGATAAAGCATTGATGACTATTCTTAATGCTACTTTGTCCACTGTTGTTTTATCTTGTGTGATTGGATGTCAGAGTTCTCAAGAAATGTGGCTTAGTCTTAGAGAACGGTTTGCGTACATGACCAGGACTAGTATAATTCAAATGAAAATTGATTTGCAACATATACAGAAAGGGTCTGAATCAATTGATGAGTATCTTCAAAGAATTAATGATACCAGAGATCAACTTCCTATTGTTGGGGTTTTCATATCTGATGAGGATATTGTGATTGCGGCTCTTCGAGACCTACCTTTTGAGTATAACACCATCAAGTCTGTGATTCGTGGTCGTGAAACTCTTATGTCCTTGGAGTCCACTTTGCAAGAAGTTTCAAAGCAAGTTCCTTTGATGTCTACAATGCTAGCTCAATCTTCCAAATCTGGCACACATATGGGTAGTTTTTTCTGGTTCTTCACAGTTTCATGAATCACAGTCACTTCAACAAATGCCTTTTCCAAATCAATTCTCCCAACTGCCTGTGTCTGGACCATTGCTTTTGTGTCTCAAACTGGTTCAGGGTCTTACAACAATTTCCAAGGAAACAATTGGAAGAACAAAGGCAAATACAAGAAGTTTTTTTTCCGGATCTCAACCTTCTCAATCTCAATTCTCGGGAGGTCCGTCATATCCTCAACGATTTCAATCTGGTGTTCAGCCTTCAGGACAACAAATGTCATCACCTCAGGCTTATCAACCTTTTCAGAAATGCCAAATTTGTGACAAGAAAGGGCATTCTGCTTTGAATTGTTATCAAAATGGATGTCAAATCTGTCATCATGTTGGACATACTGCTGCTACATGTTTTGACATAAACAATTTCAATTTTCAGTCTTTCATTCCTTCACGAGGGTATCAGCCACATCCTCAAGGATATTCAATCTCACAGGCTTCTGGTTCTCAGTTTGTTCCATCCCTTGTTATCTCATCTCCATATCCACCTCATACTGCCTTTTCACCTCAACAATATCATTCATTCGGTGGTGCTCCTCAATCATTCTCCCCAGTTGCACTGAACGCTAGAACTACTGGACCATCTTCAGCTCCACAACAAGAGTTTTGGTTGCTTGATTCTGGGGCTGCCGATCATATGACATCTGATCTTTCTAATCTTCAGATGGCTGCGCCTTATCCTTCTACAAATACTGTTACTGGTGCCAATGGTGAAGGTTTACCTATTGCACATATTGGCAGATCTAATCTTCATACTAAGTCTCATACTTTTCGATTAAATTCAGTACTTCATGTTCCTCAGTTGTCACAACATCTGCTCTTAATGAATCAGTTGTGTCGTGATAATCATTGCAGATGTATCATTGATGATTCTTCTATTTGTGTGCAGGACAAGGTCACCCAAAAGATTCTATTTCAAGGGCTGAGTAACAATGCAGTTTACCCTATTCCAGTGTTCAAACCTTCACCTCATTCTCCAGCAGCATACTTAGGTCAAAAAGTTTCTTCTACTTTGTGGCACTGTAAGTTGGGTCATCCAACTAATTCAGTTGTTAAAATAGCTCTTAGTAAATCCTCTATCCCCTTTACCTGTAATTCATCACCTTACACTTGCATCCTTTCAAGTCTACGTTTTTCTTTATGTATCATATGTCTTAATTGTATAGACATTGCATCCTTGCAAGTCTACGTTTCTGTGTGAATCCAATGTAAATAAGCAATTGGATCTCTTTCTGCCAATGCAAATAAACAGCCACATTTCAGGAAATTTAGGGAGACGTTCAAATGAGATGCAATTAAGCCAAATTAATAAACACAGTCGACTTCAACCAGTATTATACGATGAAAATGATATCCGACACAACCTACAATGTGAAAACTCAGACAAGTTAAGGACACAAACTTACAATACTTAGCCAAAGGTTAGCTGCTACCAACGACAATGAGCAGCGCTGCATCTGCCATCTGCATCGAGGCGTCTAAAATTTTTACAACATCTGAACTCGTTTGGCCTACGAACATCATACATCCCGGACTTCAACTTTTCCTTGATACACACTCAATAACTGAGGTACTTGATCGACATATCTGGTCACATAACTCTCCAAGAAGCGCTTCTCTGACGGCACCAATACAGAACTCAAACTCACGTTTTCAATCCCCTTTATCAATCCTTTCAGCAACAAAACTTTAACAACCAAGCAGCGCTGCATCTGAACTTGTTTGACCTACGAACATCATACATCCCGGACTTCAACTTTTCCTCGATACACACTCAATAACTGAGGTACTTGATCGATATATCTGGCCACATACCTCTCCAAGAACAACTTCTCTACAGGCACCACCACAGAACTCAAACTCACGTTTTCAATCCCCTTTATCAATCCCTTCAGCAACAAAACTTTAACAACCAAGCAGCGGGGGATGAATCTCTTCTCCAAACTGTAACACATGACCTCTGGGGATTTGGCAATCATTACCGACGGCCACCCCATCTTATTCACTAAAAATTCCATTGCTAGCATTAGTTTCTTCTCCGACACAATCATACATATCGGGTGCCTCCTGAAAGCAGAGACTAGATCATCCTCAGACCATCCCCACCTCTTATAAACTTGGCGATTTCGATTACATGCAAACCTGCTACCACACAATGCTTTTATTGCCGGCACCGAAGTTGATTTTTGCAGATTAAAACCCATTTGCTTAACCTCGTCCACAACTTTACCAATCTCTTCAGGCTTTACCATTAAAGCTTTTGGGTGATGAGCAAGCAACAGAGAAATGCAGGAATAGGGCATACCTGATTCTCTCAAAATCTCAATATTTGGGGCAACATTCTTGGAGTGGCCTTCCTTGAAAATCCGCGAGCCATGCTTGAAAACAGAAGCGACATTTTTCTTAGAAATCAAACTCCGAAGGAAATCATAAGTGGGTAGAATCCGGTTGTTCAAGCTCGCAGTCAAAAGCTTCGGTTGATACGCCACAGTTTTTGCAACGTCCTCCTTTGAAACTCCAAGAGAAGTGAAAAACTCAAGCTTTGGCAAAATGGTCCTCTCAGGATGCAATTGGAAAGTCTTGGGAATGACCTGACCATCTTCGAGATCTGGGTTGCAGAGAATCCATGGTTTCTGAGAAAGGACAAAACGTAGTCTGGTCTTTCTGGAGAACGCAGCTTGACCCTCTTGGAGGCTGAAATTGCATCTTCTGGGGACAACCCACATGAGCTTATGAGGTAATTGACTGTGAAATCGTTGTGGTTTTCTGAAGTTTCTGAGGTGAAATGTCTGCAGAGTAGCAGCTGATGTTGAAGAGGAAAATGTGAGGGTTTCGGATCTCCAGAGACAAATCGTTTAAATGTGGAAGCAACTCTACTGGAACTGGAAGATTGAGAATAACCCAATCGGAGGGCGAGGGCCTTCAATTTGGAGAGCGATCCCATGTCAATAATAGATAGACGATGAATTTCAAATTTTGAATTGGATGGAAACGCCCCCAAAACCCTTCCTGTTCTTCCGTTTAGTCTTTGGGTTTTCGGTTTGCGTGATGTTATTCACACATCTTTTCACTTCGCACATCTTTTATTAGTGGATTGTGCTATTTATACACTATTTTTAACCATCAACACAAACTTATTAATTTTCGGTTATCAGATCAAATGAATTATAAAAAAAAATCAAATGATATAAATTAACAAAGAGTTTATGGGATATAAAAATAAGTGTGTAGATAGCACATGATCTTCTCCAATTCGATTCAACGGTAAAAAATTGGGAGAAATGCACAACAGCTGTTTGTCTAACACCACCATAACAAAAAATGTTTAGTCTTATTACAAGTAGAGGAGCTGGAGCCAAACAAACTAATCTCAGTTTTAAAGTGGTGCTATCCACACACGCTTTTTACCATGCACACACATTTTATTATTATTATTATTTTTTCTTCAATTCATTCGATTTGACAGCAAAAAATTAAGAGTATGTAAGAGATAAAAAGGGATATGTGAATAACACTAACTCTCCTTTATTCAGATTAGCTTTTGCATGCATGAGTCTAAGATCAAGTCAACGGAATTGGATCCATTTCAGACCTTTAATGTCTTTACCCTTTAAATCAAAGAGGGTAAAGACAGTGCAAACAAAACAGTGTGGATGCAACATTGATCATAATAAGATCCTTAGACCATCTCCAACCCTGGGCTAAAAGCCAAATTACCCCCCAAATTACCCCCCCAAACACTCTCAAACCCATGCTAAAATTTTAGGCTAAATGCCAAATGCTATTTCTGGGCCAAATACCCCCCAGCTTTCCCCCCGGGCTAAATGCGAAATGTTTATCGGAATTTAAATTTTTTTAGATTAAAATGTTCATAAAATTAATTTACAATAATCTACATTTTTTTTTTTTTTTAAATTGATTTAAGAAAAAAATTTAGACTAATTTCATTCTTTAATAATTCCAGGCTAAAATTTTAAGGTAGAAGGGTTGGAGCAGAAAAAATGTTTCTGGGCTAAAAGCTAAATTTTCCGGGCTAAAAAATTTGGCTTTTAGCCCAAGGGTTGGAGATGGTCTTATTGCCTTGCAAAGTAGGCTAACACAAGGGAATCACAATGGAGAATAGTACTGACCACCTAACCATTGTCACTGAAAATAAGGCTAGCTATTTGTGGATAACAACTAGCATAGCAGAACAGGGACAAAGACACAGACAAAAGTTGATATATCAGACACTGATATCTTACACATCTTAAAATTTGATATATGAGACAAAGAATAGCATAACATGAGTTATTTGGCGTATTTTGATTCCTATATATTCACTCATTATACGATATATATAAGATCCATATGTATAGATATCATCATATCGCTTATAGATTAAATTGAAACCAAAGAAGCAACATAGGTGTACATTCTGCCGAAGGCAATTCCAAGATGAACAACATCAAGGACCATTGATCATATAGTTGAATGCACCAAAATCATTGAGAGCAGAGCAGGTGAAATCTCAAGTTAATTTCAAATAAGAGAGTATCCGTATAACAAAAACAGCTAGACAGTGGAACGGGAGGACGAAAAAATGAATTTCATCTTTCTTCATCCATGGCTACCAATTGAATTCATCTGTAGAAAAATATACTGAGCCAAAAGCTAGCTGCTGCCAATGTCAATGAGCAGTGCTGCATCTACGATACTACATCAAGGGAGCTACGAACATCATACATCCTCAACTTTAACTTTTCCTTGATACACACTCAACAACTGAGGTACTTCATCTATATATCCGGTTACAAACTTCGCCAAGAAGAATTTCTCTGCAGGGAGCATTACGGAATACAAACTCACATTTTCAATTTCCTTCATCAATCCTTTCAACATCAAAACTTTAACAACCGAGCACCTTGGGATTATTCGCTCCTCCAAACTGAGACTCACAATGGCTGGGTATTTGGCAATAACTCGCGCCGGCCATCCCATTTTGTTCACTAGAAATTCCATTACCTGCATTATTTTCTTCTCCGACTTGGTCATACAATGTGGGAACCGCTTGAAAGCAGAGAGAACATCGTCCTCTGACCAACCCCACCTCTTATAAGATTCACAATTATGATTCCATATGGACTTACTACACAAAGCTTTTATTGCCATCGCAGACGTTGATTTCTCCGGATTAAAGCCCATTTGCTTAACCTCATCCACAACTTTGCCGAAATTCTCAGGATTTCGTATTAGACAGCTAGGAAAATGAGCTAGCAACAGAGAAATACATGATTGGGGCATACCTAGTTCTCTCAAAATCCCAATATTCGGCGTCAGATTCTTCGAATGGCCTTCCAAAAAAATCCGCGAGCCGTTCTTCAAAAAAGCAACAAAATTTTTCCCAGAAAGCAGATTCCCAAGGAAAAGACAAGTGGGTTTTATCCGTTTCTGCAAGCTCACATCCAAAAGAGCAGGAACGGAAGCAAAAGTTTTTGCAAGCTCCTCCCTTGAAATTCCAATAGACAAGAAAAACTCAAGCTTTGGCAAAAGGGTTTTCTCCGGATAGCCCACGAGAAGTTGCGGACGTGACCTGATGAGCTTGGAGATCTGGGTTGCAGAGAAGCCATGGCTTCTGAGAAATGACAGAACAGAATCAGCTCTTTCCGGGGATCGCAACTTGACCCGCTTGGATGCTGAAATTGCACCTTCTGGAGACAACCCACAAGAGTTTATGAGGTAATTGACTGTGAAATCGTGGTCGGTTTGTGAGATTTCTGAGACAAAGTGTCTGCAGAGTATCAGACTTTGAAGAGAAAAATCAAAATCCGAGGGTTTTAGATCCCCAACCCCAACAACAAATCTTTTAGTTTTGGGAAATAGAGAATAACCCAATCTGGCGGCCTCCAAGTTGAAGAGGCTTACCATGTTAGATTCCCGGCGATGTCCAATTTCAAGTGGAAAGTCCAAAACCTCGGCGGCGCCTCCGTTCAGAGGGTTTTAGCATTTCTCTCGGGAGAGGCTCTCCCTCTCTCTTTCACGTTTTGTTTTTTTCTTGGTTGGATAAAGTGCAAAATAGTACGAAAATGCTATTTGGGCTTAAACCCTTTTCAAGCTTAATTGGGAATTAGTGCAATTCTTCGAGGTGTGGGATACATTAGTCTTTGACAAATAAAAATTACGAACTTTATATGGGCTTCGCATTGAGGACATATATGGTAAACCGGTACGGTAACGTCTTGTGTTAATAAAATAAATACGTGTAAATTTTAATTTACATATTCTTGTTTTTGTGACACGGGATGTCATGTTATTGTGTACTTGTACTATATAAGTTTGTCTCTTGCACATAACCCGAGAGAGCGATATAAATGACGACATAATAATTAAATATTAATGTTATCTTAACAACGTTATATTGACGTAATGATACCATGTATATCCTCGTATCAAGAAATTTCTATTGAGTATCAACGTCGTTACCATGGCATGGATATTCAATTGCCGCCCACGTTAATCTTTAGGTCATGCGCTGCCCATGCACACGATTCATGTGCGCATGGGAGAAAAACTGAAGCAAACACAAGGTAAAAATAACCAAAAAAAGGTCCTGCACAACGTAAAGAAATTACAATGAAACAGGCCCAAAAGGAGTAGTCTATAGAATGACTGTCTTCCTTGTATTGTAAGTTCTGAATCAGAGGATTGTCATATTTTCTGACGAAGGCAACAGCAGATACGAATTACCCTTGAAGAATTAGAATGCGACACAGATCAACTTACCACGAATAATACAAATTATAAATATAAAACAAGAAGAAGAAAGTTTCATTGGACAATTTGAGCTTGCTTTGTGGCTGTTTCGGGTTTTCGATTACCTTTGAAGAATTGCACCAGAAAAATTGTGGAAGAGATTATAACTTTGAGTACCAAGTTGTTGATTGCAAACAAGGAAGACAAAGGATACCAAGCAATAGACATCAAGCACCCAAGCACAACAGAGTTTATGTGGTTCTGTCTCTATCCACGACCAACATACACGGCCATAAATTAGGTGAACTGGGATGTGCACTCGTTGTAGAGAAAGTATGACTTCACTGCATGAATAAACTGATGCAAATATACCGAATCCAGCATCACATTGTCCGTGACATAAGTAATGAGCTTCCATAGTGTTCTATCCTTCCCACGCAAAATGACTTGATTACAAATCCCTGGGATCTCTATTCCCTCGTAGCAAGTCCATCCCTAAGGACTTTGTGTCATCACCCAACCAATTTATTTACTTCAGTGAACAGTAATATACTCCAATGAACAGTAATAGGCCAATGCACTCAACCCCTAAAAAAAATGCGCTGGCACCCAACACATTTAAAATATTTTTAAATTTTTTCTAAAAGAATAAAAAAATAAAATAGTTTTAATTTCGGATAGGATTTTTAACCAATCTCGTCACACTACGTGTCATTATCCGAACATATTATTTTGTGAATAGTTTTAATTTCGCTTATCCATCTCATTACCCGTAATCGGGTCATGAGTAGTGTGAACCCAATATTCACACAACACAACATCTTCAATGAGCTTCTACGAAGACATTTTTTTCTCTTAAAGTGTAGAAAATATTGAAATGTAGATAGTATAGAAAGTGTAGAAAATATTGAAATGTGGTGTAAGGTGGAAGATGAGAGTTAGGTATTTATAGAAAAAAAAAAATTTTAAATTTTACTGTATTTAAAAAAATTATAATTTATAATTAATTTTAATGTAGTTAATTAATTTGGACCGTTGAATTTGAAAAATATTCAAATCCAAGAGCCAAGGATTTGCCATGTGGCCAACGGTCATAAATCTGACCGTTGGGCCCTTTTTTCTTTTTTTTTTTGAGGAAAAAACATGGACCGTTGATCTGTGATCGGATGGTCCAGTTTAAAAGTAAAATTTATATTTTTTTTTACCGTTGGAAATCCAACAGCTTTGAGCATGCCACGTCGCTGACTGCATCTGAAGCACAAGTGAGCTGACAACGCCTACCCCCTTGTCCCCTACTCGCGGCCATGCCTTACACACGCCAGCCAAAAAGACCGGCTCTTGGGTTTGTCAAAAATGGGCTGGTCTGGGTGTCAGGCAACTTTGTAGGCTGGAGTAAATGGACTGATCCTTAGCTTGATATTTGGACTGGGTGCTGGGCAAGGTTTGCTCCGCTCTCAAGAACCGAATTTACAGCCACAACGGATGCAATTTTTTTTGCTAAGGCAAGTGCTAAAAAAACAGCGAAAGTGATTCACAACGACACAATGATACTTTATCTAGGTCACGGCCACTGAAAAAAGGCTAGCTAAACTAAACTAAAGACTAAACTGAATCCCATAAGAAGCAAGTAAAGGTGTACTTTCTATCAAAACCAATTTTGAAGACCAACCAAATTCAAGAACCAACAACACAACTCGGACTGCAGGTCAACCTTTTCAGATAAGATAGTATATATAACTAAACCATCTAGTCAGTAGAGTCGAAGATGAACAATTGTTATTTCTCTTTGATCGTGACTAACAACTGAGCATAAGTAAACCAATATCGAAAAGTTGGCTTTTACCTCTCCTGACCAGCCGATGTCATACATCCTGGATTTCAACTTTGCCCCCGATACACACTAAGTAATCCAGGTACTGTTGGAATTTATTAGGTTTATTTAGGAAATTAATTAGAGATTTGATTTGATTTTGTAGTAGGGTATTTTTGGCATATACGCATTAGGGTTTCTTTGGTTTATTGCTCTATAAATAGAGTTTGTAATTTAGTTAGAGAATAATTCATTCACAATGTAGTCTCTAGGGTTTTTGTAGCCGTCTCGGCATTCTCGTTTGTTCAATAAAATTCCTATTATTTTGTAGTCTTATTTGTTCCGCACTCTGATATTCAACTTGGTATCAGAGCGGGTTCGATCCTTATGGTTCAATCCGTTCTTGTTGGTATCAATTTGTTTTGTCGCTTTTTGTTTTTTGGTTTAGTTTGGGTCTCGTTTAGGCTTTCGCTTCCGCTTTGGTCTGTGTCCTTTGTTCTTGGTCACTCTGTTTTTGTTCGTTTTGTCTTTGGATTTCTGTTTATGTTCTTTGTCTTTGGATTTCGGTATTGACCGTCAAATTGTGTTAGTCTTGTCCGTAGATTTTTTACGCTTTCTGGTTTGGTTTTCAGTTTGTCCTTGGTAGTCGTCAAGAAAGGGAAAAAAATTCTGTTTTTTGAAAAAAAGGAATTTGGTGAATCCATCGCACTAGGATTTCTGCATTCCCCAGCCCCACCCTGCATCTGGATCCGTCCACAATCGTACCCTCGCGGAAAAAAAAAAAAAAAAAAAAAGGAGGCTGGTGATGTTGGTTCGCACAGAAGAAAAAAAAGGAAGGAGGTTGGTGATGTTGGGTCACACGTTGGTTCGCACAGAAGGTAAAAAAAAAAAGGAAGGAATCGCACAGAAGGAAAAAAAGGAAGAAAAAAGGAAGAAAAAAAATATTTGGTTGGATTTTTTGTTTGTTTGTTAGGCATCGGCATCGACATTTGCACTGGTACTGGCATTGGAATCTTGCACTGGCATGGAAATCTTGCACTGGCATTGGAATCTTGCACTTGCACTGATGAAATTTCGTATTGAAATTGGCATCGGAAATCGGCATCGGCATCGGAATTTGGAGGCTTGCATCCACATCTGCTTGTTGGCAAACTCATGTCGTGTACCGCCATGAGTTTGACGGGGGGTGTTGGAATTTATTAGGTTTATTTAGGAAATTAATTAGAGATTTGATTTGATTTTGTAGTAGGGTATTTTTGGCATATACGCATTAGAGTTTCTTTGGTTTATTGCTCTATAAATAGAGCTTGTAATTTAGTTAGAGAATAATTCATTCACAATGTAGTCTCTAGGGTTTTTGTAGCCGTCTTGGCATTCTTGTTTGTTCAATAAAATTCCTATTATTTTGTAGTCTTGTTTGTTCCGCACTCTGATATTCAACTGGTACTTCATCTATATATCTGGGGACACACCTCTGCAAGAAGACTTTCTCTGTAGGGTTCATTAGATAATACAAACTCACATTTTCGATTTCCTTTATCAATCATTTCAACAACAAAACTTTAACAACTGAAAACCTCGGGATAATTCTCTTCTCCAAACTGAAACTCACAATAGTCGGACATTTGACAATTGATCTTTGCGGCCATCCCATCTTGCTCACTAAAAAATCCATTACCTGCATTATTTTCTTCTCCGACTTATTCATACAAGGCGGGAACCGCTTGAAAGTAGAGAGAACATCATCCTCTGACCAACCCCACCTCTTATAAGCTTCACAATTACGACTCCATATGGACTTACTATTACCACTAGATAATGCTTTTATTGCTGCTATAGATCTTGATTTTTCCATATCAAATCCCATTTGCTTAACCTCATCCACAACTTTAGCAAAATTCTCAGGCTTTAGTGTTAAATATCTAGGAAAATAAGCCAGCAACAAAGAAATACATGATTGGGGCATACCGAATTCTCTCAAAAGCTCAATATTTGGAGCCACATTCTTTGAATGGCCTTCCGAGAAAATCCGCAGGCCACCGTTCTTCAAAAAAAAAACAACGAAGTTCTTCTCAGAAAGCAGGTTTCTAAGAAACTGGCAAGTTGGTAGAATCCGCTTCTCCAAGCTTGTGACCAAAAGATGCGTTTCATATGCCAGAGTTTTTGCAAGGTACTCCCTTGAAACTCCAAAAGAAACGAAAAACTCAAGCTTTGGCAAAAGGGTTTTCTCCGGATTATAATTGAGAACTCCTGGGCATGACCTAACAATCTTGGAGATCTGGGTTACGGAGACTCCATGGTTTATGAGAAGGGACAGAACGGAGTCTGCTCTTTCTGGGGATCGCAACTTGACCCGCCTAGAAGCTGAGGCCATCTCCAACCCGTCAGACGTCTCATTTTAGCCATTTGGCTCTCCAAGATCCTCCAAGGTTTTAATATTTTAATGAACAGTACATGACCATATTTACCTCCGTCTTCAACCGAGTGTCAAAGGGCTATAATGTCAAACATAATTTATTATTTAAAAACTACAACTTAAAATAAAATGAAACAAATTTTGTGAAATCGAAGTTATAGGAAAAAATGGAATTTTAAAAAAATATGAAACAAATTTTGTAAAATAAAAGTTATTGGAAAAAATAGAAGTTATATGAAAAATTTTGTATAAATATACTACTGTCGGTTATAACCGACAGTAATACATTTATATTAAGTAATATAATGTATTACTGTCGGCTATAACCAACAGAAATAACAAAACATTAAAAAAAATGGCCAACCCCGGGCTGGCTAGTTGGCTGCATGCAGCCAGCCCTCTCCGATTCCATGGGGCCCTCCTAGATTCTAAAGCCCTCTGGCCTAGCACTCGGCTGGAGACGATTTTCGGGCTATTTTCGGTTTTCTGGCCCTCTGGACCCTTCGGTTGGAGATGGCCTGAAATTGCACCTTGTGGAGACAACCCACATGAATTAATGAGGTAATTGACTGTGAAATCGTGGTGGTTTTATGAGATTTCTGAGGTGAAACGTTTGCAAAGTATCTCGTTTTGAAGAGTAAAATGTAAGGGTTTTACATCTCCGACAACAAATCTTGTAATTTTGGAAAATAGTGAATACCCTAATCTGCCGGCCTTCAGGTTGAAGAGGGCTGCCATGTTGGACGGCGTCGGCACTGATCAATTTCAGGTGGAAAATCCCAAACTTCGAGGGCTCTGTGGAAATTTACTGGCAACTTTTGGGCTTGGGTTGGGAGCATTTGTTTGCTAAATTCTAAATTTTGGGTTTTAGGCTTCTAGCAACACTTAGGGGCGTTTGTTGGGAGCGACCATCTCGGATTGGACTACCTTCTGGGACTAAGCTGGATTGATTTAGACTAAACTAAGCTGGACTGACTTAGTGAAGCGTTTGCTGCAGTGATGGACTAAAAGAAGGATAATTAACAACTATAATATTATATTATTTAATACACATTCAATAATATTTTATTATTAATTTAATATATTTTATTCAAGCTTTTGCCCTTTTTTATAGGGAACTTTAACGAAAAGCTCCCGATACTGTTCACTTTAACGAAAAACCACATTTTTACACTAAAAAGTCAATCCTTGTACTATTCACTTTACCCTTTATTTTGTCCTTATCATTAAAACTCAAAGTTTTCAAACCCTTTTCATTAGTTTTCCTTTTTTTATATGTCTAGAACACGTTTTTGTTCCGTCCCCTTTATTAATTCAACAATATTTTCATTTTTATCCAACCTCTCTCTAGACTCTCTCTGGAGAGTTCTTTCTTTACTTACTAGTTTCGTCCCCCATAACACTCCTTCCATCATTTGTCCTGCAAAACCACAACCTTCAAAATCGTTTTTCCTGTGTAAAATCTTCCTCAAAACTACTCTCTCCTCCGTCCTCGTCTCTCCATTACTCTTCATCCCAAAGCTACTTTCTCCCTTTCTCTATCCATTTCTCTCCAAAATTTTATGGGAAAAAGGAAAATTTTCTTGGAATTTTGGAGAATAAGGAAGAATTTTTCTATTAGGATTCTTGTTGTAATCGTTTTGCATTTTTTTCTTTTCGAATTTTGGTGTTGAGATTTAGGTAGCAGCGAGGCTGGGTTTCAGATCTAGGAAATGGAGTTGCCCAGAAGCATGCTTACGGGCTTGCAGCGTTTATAAACTTGCATCGTGCAATCAATTTTGGAGATGGGATTAGCAATCCCATGGTTTTTGGGGGGTTTAGATAAAACCCGCTAGTCTCTTCTTTAGTCGAAGCGAGTGAGAGCTAATCTCATTAAATCTAAGCCTTCCAGGAAACAAACACGGGACTGGACTAAGAGTTAGTCCAGTCCAATCCAGTGAATTTTAGTGAGGGTAAACAAACACCCCCTTATTGTAGTCTAAGACCAACTTGGAATGTTGCTTTTACATCACCGTGAATTCGAATTTCGTTAACTCTCTAATTTAACATATAATCTAACAAATTTATCTTTTAACCAAAAATAAAAATTTGGATTCAAACTCACATATTTGTCTACTAAAAAATAAAATTAGCTCTATAAATAGTGGATGTCACTTAACTCTGCAAACCTAAATTTTAGCACTTAAAATGTATTAATTGTTGTGGATTGATTTGAACTTTAAGGGGGTGTTTGTTTGACCTCCTTAAGTTTCACTGGACTGGACTACTTGGGTAGGATTATTACTCTGTGTTTGGTGCAAGCCATGATTGAGTTTAGTGGGATTAAGTCGGACTCGTGCCGACTAAATCCTTCGTTAGCTGGGCTTAGCGAGAGCCCCCAAAAAGGAGGGGATTGCTAGTCCCGTTTCCCCGCTTCCCCTCACTTTGCCTCACCCCACGCCTGAGAACTTGCCCTCCCATTGTCTTTCTCCCTACCTCCCTTTCGTCTGTCCATAAGATCGCCAAGTCAGAGACCCAGAAAACCCAAAAAAAACTCAGAAACCGAAAGCAGATTCAACCCCATCTCCCACCTTCGAGCCACTCATGCATGCATCCCGCCTAACTCCTAAATTTTCATTTTTGTTCTTGCTCTTTGGTTTGATTTTAAGATTTGCAAGGGATTTTGTGAGAGGAATAGAAGAGGCAGAAGTAGATTTGCAGTGAAGAGGAAGAGAGAGATTTACAAAATCTTCGAATCCGAGACCATCCAAAATCAAATTATCACCCATGGAGTTAGACAGGAAAAGAGGCAGAGGGGAGAGAGAGATGGGAAGGATGTAGTGAGCGGACAAAAAAAATGAGAGAGGAAGAGGATTAAAAGCTTGATCAAAATAAATGGTTCTAGAAAAGAAACTGATAATTTAATAATAAAATATTAGTATATATAATATATGAGTCATGTTTTTTAGTCCGACACAGCATCAAACGCTTCATTAAATTAGTCTAGCTTAGTCTATTATAAGCCAGTCCAGCTTAGTCCCTAAAGCTAGTCCAGTCCGAGATAGTCCGGTACAATAAACACACCCTAATTGTTTTTATAAGGATTTTTTTGTACTTAACTAACTATTTGCAACATCGTCACATGATGACTATATATATACACACTCAGTCAACACTCAAGAAGAAGTTTTAATCTTAATTTCATTAAAAATGTGATTATGTAAATCTGAATAGACGATGTCTAATATTTTATAAATAATTTTGTTTACATTAAGGGTGCGATTGTATAAATCTTAATAGAGGATGTGGAATATTTTATGATAGTTTCGTTGTTGTACTGCAGCACTGAGTGGAAATCATGCTACAATAGCCAAACGGCTCTAGTACATTACAAATCAGCTCAATCATTTTCCCCCAAAAGAACCCAAACAGTGGCCACAAGTTGATAAGACAAGTGCTACTTCCTTACGTTGCCACCCCTTCTTCAGTAACTTTTGTTTTGTGATATTTTTTATTTTATTCAATTTGATAGTTAAAAATTAAGAAATATATGTAAAAGATAAAAAAAATAATATATGGATAAATTTTGTTAGCATGGGCTTGTCTTCTCTAACTTGAACTTGCATGATTCTCATCCGCTGACGGCTTGTGCCACATTATTTTCGAATTAAGCATCTTGGTATTCAGGTTTGTCATACTTTTTTTTTCCTAACTTTGTGGTGTTGCTCAGTTTGTTTTGCAGGTTTAGATATTTAGGTTTGATTTTTGAAGGGTTAGGTTACACATGCCCCTCTTTTCTTTGTATTATTCTTGTTTTTGTTTTTAGAAGGCTATGATTTATGTCCCATTTCTTTTTCATGTATTTTTTTTATGAGAGGTAAAATTTATATCTCCTGATTAGGTATATTTTTTTCTTTTCGTTATTAATAAAGTTTTTCTCGTACAGTCAAGTTTTCAAAAAAAAAAAACATATATATATATATAAATTATTTTCATAGCAATTCAATTGCAGTCACATTCGATATGTAACATCACTAGTCCACATGGTCGGTTTAGGGTTTAGGAGGAAAAACCATACATTACGGCTTTTGCCAAAAATAGACTATGCACTATTGCAACTTGCACGCCATCTGTGACCAACAAAAAGAAAACAGCATGAAGTCTGTAGTACGTAAAAAATGATGTGTGAATAATATTAATAAAAAATAAAAATGAAAACATTTGCAACCATTTCACACCATTTTTCTATATTCTTATTTTTGCTCTCCAACCGTATTATTAGTCCGTTTAAAAGTGTTTATATAAATTTAAAAGCGTTTTATTTTTCTTTAAACTTTGACATACTTAAAAAAGCATTTTACTGGAAGCATTTTGAATAGAAGTACTTTTTAAATGAGCATTTTCAAACCAACCAGCTGTATTTATATTAATTCAAATTTATGGCTATGAGATGATTGATATCTTGATAAACTCTGTAAAAAAAGAAGATCTTGATCAATACGTGGATATATTTTAAATTAAATATAATTATTAATTTTCTATCAAAAATCTAACGGCTAAATATTTTAGATTTACGATATTTAGTTGTACCATCTTTTGAATGGAGATAGAACGTATGAATTAAATTTCTATTAGAGAGATGCTAGCACAATTAAATAGTAAAAATAGCATTTTTGAATATTTTATGATGTCAAATATTCCGAAACACACTAAAAAATCCAAAAAGAAAATCGAAAGAAAACAATGATGTGGTTTCATTTTGTGGCGGAAGAAGCGGGTTTGAGGACTCAGTGAAAAGCAGCCGACCTAGCCAACCTTCCTTTTACTCCTCACAGAAAGCGAAACAAAATCTTAAAATAGTAATAAAAAAAAAAATTTGAAATAGGTCCAATTTAAAGGCCTATTTTTGAAATAAATTTAATTTTTAATAATTTTTTATTTTTAAAATAAGTTTTATTTTTAATTACTTTGACCCATAT